ATAACACGTTGACGCAGAATCCTTTCTTTGCGATATTAAGTAATTTGTGTTTTAGCAAGTTTGACGGAATATCCTCAGAAATGCAAAATTCATTTGACGATTCAGTCCATATGTCTCTGAATATGAAAGCTCTCGACATCCTTTTCGCAAACATAAGAATGCTCAAGTTAAGGCATCGCTGCTTTTATCTTTTTAACTTATCAAGAAGAGTACCGAAATGGCACGGCTCTTTGAGACCTGGAAGTGGAATTCGAATTAGTTGATAGAAATGCTTGGCATTGTGGCGCGAAATGATTTCGATTCACTGACGTAAATTCGAACTTCGTTGGTAATCATGAAAATGTGTAATTAATATTTAAAATTAAAAGGTGACTGAGGTCTGTACTACTATTAATAATATCGTTTTGAGCACTGCGCGGAGCGTAGTTCTTATTTAAAAATGTATCTGCGTATACAGGATGAAGAAAAATTATCGGACCGGTAAAATATTTCGAAGACAAGGCATTTGAGAAGAAAATACATAATACAAATATAAAAAATACAAAAGTTGTAGGGTCTCAACAAATGCGTCAAACGGCGATACTCATTTGACCTCGAGCGCAGATATGAAGGAGATCTCAAGGTTAAGATCTCAAATGGAAATCCCCATTATTTTTATTCGATATTCTTGCAGCAGACATTGAGATCTTTTTAAAATACTGCAATCAAATTCCTTTTAGTTAAGTGTTTTCCGAGATATGGGTCGGTAAAGTTTAGGTACCGCCGGTGTTGGTATTATCGAAAATGTAGTGCGTGGAGGTGACCCGGTGGAGTTTATATTTGTATATATGTGTGTGTTATCTCAAATGCTTACATTTGAAGGAACAATAATTACCCGCATCCAGGAACGACAGAAGAAACTTTTCCCGAGTGATGAGTTAAGTCAAGGCTGCGAAGAGTTTGCACTTTAGAGCACTCGTTTCGGCGGTCGTGCCCACTGCCATCCCCACTTCTCTCGTTTCGTAGTTTCGAGCCGATATCGTCCCTGAGCTCGAACGTCTTACATCTTCGTGCGGAGGCTTGTTATGAGTCAGAAATAATTTTCGCTCATTAAATACCTAACAGTTACAAAATTCAATTATAATACACACTTGACTTATTTCTTGTTGTAAGGAGAACAGGGAATTTTGCGGACTTATTCAGACTCGCGGAAATAACTTCGTAAGTAACCTTGTCTTTTCCGATGAAGCTATTTTTGAACTTCATGGGAATGTTAATCGTTAAAATTTTGATATTCGAGTTCGAAAATCTACATTGACTGAGAGATAACACATCTCGATATCCTGAAAAAGTCTGGACAAGGATAATTGGTTATTTAATAGGTCTGTTTTTCTTCGATGAAAATCTCAATTCCGCGAGGTACGAAGCTACGCTAAATGAGCAAATTATTCCTGTTATTCGAAGTCTCGTTCCTGATTTTGATTGCGCGTGATAATCAGCAAGATGGAGCTCCAGCGCATTTCGGATTAAAGGTACGAAGGAAAGATTGCTGGAACCTTCTCGAACAGATGGATTGGGAGACGAGTGAACAATTGAATGGTCTCTAAGATTTCACGATATCACATCACTATAGATTTTTATGGGCCTTCTTGAAAGATCGAGATTACAAGATAAAACGTGAGTGTTGAAGAATTGAAACAAAGACCGACGAAATGAGCTTGATAACCGTCGACGAGTTGAGAAATTGAGATCCTTCTCAGTTAAGGCTAGCTAGTCAAACAATGGAAGTAAGGCAATTCGAACATCTGCTGTAATTATCATCGCCAAATGCACGAACGCGCGCGCACATATGCACGCGCATACACAAGAGGCATAAAATCCGATCATGCAACCTCCGCGTGGAATGTGAGAATAATGCTAATGCCAGCAGTACCTGAACTAATTAACTCGTATCTCGGAGAGCGGCTAACTGAACGCAAAAGGAACTTTATTGCGGTGTTTTGAAAAGATCTCGATGTGATCTGCAAAGATATCGAATTAAAAAATGGGAATTTCCATTGAAAATTGTCAAGTTGACTATAAGTGATGCGGATCCCGTAACTGCTGTGATTTTTGCCAATACAGCGCGCTTTTAGAATCGTCAGCGAGATTATATAATAACGATATACTTGTGCCGAGTTTTTGGTTACGAGAGGAGGCAGAGAGAAAAAGGTCGTGAGAATTCAGTTAACGCGCGCGCCGTAATCGAGCATCATGTTCTCGGATATCGGAAATCGAAAATTATACCAAGTTTCCCCCCCTTTACCGTACCTTTTCAAATTGCTTGGGTGAAGCAGCTTTCCGGTCGCCCTCGGAGAAGAGGTCGTGTTGCGCGGGTAGTTGAAGCGCTTGTTCGTCTTTGAAGCCAGGAACGTCCGACAACACGTTGCAGTACACATTGTCCAGATCGAAAGGGGGCTGCTTCAGAGACAGGAAGTTGGTGACGTCGTCCGAGAAAAGATTATCCTTCACATCCTTCGATTCGCCGCTCGAACTGTCGCAGTTCATTTGGGACATCAGCGAGGGCTGACGGAGAACATCGTCCAGAGTCTCCTCCAGACTTTCAATATTGTGCAGGAAACTGATGTTTTCCAACTCGTCTACAGAGTCAGTCTTCATGATCTCGGTGGCTTCCTTGGAATCAATGTCGAAGGAATTCATGTCGAATGTATAGGACCCGAAGGAATGTAGCCGATCGCTCGACATCGAGGTGTCGCAATTGCTCCCTCCTTGCTCCTCTTTCATCGTAGCCTCGGAATACTTGGGATCGTTCGCCTGAAAATTAACATGCTGACTGTCCAATAACGAGCCCACTATTTGGTCTTCGATGAACGTAGTCGAGACGGTGCACATGTCGTTGGGATTGTCTGGATATTGCACTCGCTTCTCGGCGTCCGTAGCCGCGACGGAATCGCCGGTCTGATTTGCAACGTACACGCATTTGTCGCGATCGGCCAACATGTAGACTGCGCTCGCATCGCAGGTCGACCTAACGTCGTTCTCGTTATTGTCAAACATATTGTGCAAAGTGTTGTCATGTGTCTTCATAGCGAGAATATCGTTGTCGGTGCACGACACGAGCGGCTTCTTCGTCGGCAAGCCGGTTGTAGTGTCGTAATTGACGAGCGACATCGCGGAGGATTGCCGGAAGAAGTCTTCCAGGGTCTCGCTTTGAATATTGTTCAAGAAGCTGATGTTCTCCGCGTCGTCTATACAGTCGAGCGTCTTCGTGATCTCGTTGATCTCCTCCGCTTTCAGCGAGCTCTTCAGCTGCGACTCGTAATCTATCTCCGTGTTCGAGCCGATCTCGAAGGAATTAATGTCGAACATGCAGGACTCCGGCATTGAGTGCATCTTGTCGTTCGATATCGAGGTGTCGCAATTGTTCCTTCTCTGCTGTTCCTTCATCGCGATCTCGGAATACCTAACGGCGTTCTCATAATCATTCGTCGTCGCGTTATCAAGACCGACGTGTTGGCTGTACAACGGCGACTCGGCGATCTTATCTCCGACGAAGGTTGTCGAAACGGTGTGCGTGTCGTTGGGTTTCTCCAGACATTGCATGCCTCTCTCAGCATGCGCGGTCACGACTCGCTCGCCGATATGATTGACAACGTAAACGCGTTTGTTGCGTTCGTTCAGCACGTAAATTATGTTCGTGTCGCAGGCAGACTTGGCGTCGTTTCCACTCGAATTGAACGTATTATGCGAGCCGTCTTGCGTCTTCGTCGCGGTCGCGTCGTTGCCGGTGAACGCGAACGGCTTGCAATCAAGCTTCGTGCAATAGTTCGGACACTCGTCCATCGTTTGGTGACACACCTTTTGTTTTATGATCTCCGTGAATTGCGAGCTATGGTCATTTATGGACTTCAGTTTCTTTATTATTATTATCAGGTGCTTGATATCGTTCATGTCGACCGGCACTGAGTCGCAACACTTGCGCGACTTGAGCATCGCGCTGCAATTCGTGCTTGTCGGTAACTCCTGCTTGAAGGAATGCTGCTGATCCGCGATACCGCTTTGGCACGTCTTGAACAAAGGCATCGTCTCCATGGCACTGTCTTCCTGAGAGGTTAACGCTTCTTTGCCCTGCATCATCGAATTGCTGTACGGATCAATTGCATTCCCAGCCGCGTACGTCGCGTGCGACAGCACGCGATTATCCATTTTGTCCTCCATCTTCCACTTTGTTTTCCACTTTGTCTTTTGCTTCAACTCCCTGCTATTTTGATCGATTAGTTTGGACGTCTTCGAGTAGTGCGAGTTATAATCATGCTGCATCTCGTCTTCCTTCGTGAATTCCGGACAGATGTTGTTCATCGAACTCTTTGTTACGCTTGTGTGTTCATTTTTCTGAAGACTGATGCAGCTGGTATTGTTTAACGGAGACCTGCCGTTGACCGAAGCGCAACTTTCCGTACTATCGCTAACTTTGTTGTCGGAAATAGGCTTGCACTCTGAACGACGAACTTTGCCGTCGGAGCTTTTGCCGTTGTTATTAGAGCATGCCTGTTTATCGGCGTCCATAAGCCGGCTTGGATTTCTCGAAGTGTTGATATGCTTTTGCAATTTGTGCTTCTTCTTCATGATCTTCAAATATTCCAATTTTTGTTTCGTCTTCTTTCTTTTTACTTTATAAGGAACACTTATCTCATCATCTCCAGTTAAATCGATAATTATAGTCTTCCTGGATTTCTTCCTCATCTTTTTCAATAGTTTGAGACTTTTTGCTCCCTTCTTCTGCAGGTAAGTTTGATCCATCGACTTATTCCTATCAATGCCTGGTATCACATTGCGATTTTGCGAAGCACCTGAGCAGTCTCGATTCACCTCGTAATTAGGTGTATCTTCAATCGAGTTGTTCCGACGGGATAGCGAATTCATCTGGTTTTTCTCCTGAAAGGATGTTATTCAACAAATATGAACATGCATGTGCAAATAATTGCGCAATGAAACATTACTAATGAGGACAACACAAATCAAAATAGAAAAAAACTTACCTGAGGCACTGAGCAACTTTGATCAGCACGAATCGGTTTGACACATTGTGAATCCGCAGGTTCGTCCATTTTGTCCTCAAACAGCAGGAAATTTTTGTGAATCTGCTTCAAATCGAATAGATTTGACTGCAATAACCATAACGTTTCATTCTGTTGATCCATAGGCGGTCTGAGCACAAATTTTAATAATTCATCTCGCAATTTCGGCATGCGCAATCCTAACAGCATTAGAGCTAACTTGTTAATTCTTCCTTTCCTGTCGTAATCTTCCGCCATTTCCTTCCACATTTTGAAGGCGAGTAAATATCTGACGTAAACTACATCAGTCATAGATGTCATCTTTGTTGTGAGATTAGTGAAACTCTTCCTGCATAATGAAATACATGACATTTTATATTGTTTCAATAATGCCCATCGCAGCATTTGTCTGTTCTAATGCAATAACGAAAAAATCTTTACATACATGAACAGATGATCACAAATTTTTGCATATCTTTCTGTAGCATGTTTAATTCTAAGTAATACCCTGAAAATATGCTCTTCCGAGTTATCTGGAAGCAATTTGACATTGAATGTACAATAATTGCTCATCATCCAAGATTGCATCTGCAAAATTGGTTCTGTTAACACTTACTTAAGTATATATACAGTGCTGCAAGAATCTTAGCAGCAATTTTAGAGGAATCTTTAATGTAACTGGAACATCTTTTATCCGTCGAAGTTTTCAACTCTATGTCTATGTACACATTCAACAAAGCAGACATTCTATTCAAATATGAATTATGATCAGTTATATCCTAAAGATAAAAAACTTCGTTAATATCGTTACGCACACACACACACATACACATCTCTCTCATGTCCGATTCTATAAAAACAGTGGATGGTAATTGAAAATAATGATACCTGTTTTATATCGAGCCAGTACAAGTGAAAGAATATTAACATATTATTAATATGGTTCTTAACATTAATTACGTCACTGGACTTGACATTGCTCACTGCCATGCTAGAAGTAATATTCCTGAAATAGCAAACGTTACATATAACTTTTAGCTACAAATGCAACCAATAACTATATGTATATGTACATACACAGAACTTTTATTTGTAAAAGAACATAATTCTATTCCTACATAGAAACACATTTAATATTAAAATGTTAAATTTTGCTTAGCAGGAAAACACGTTTATATATATATAATTTAAATCATTAGGGAGAATTCAGATTGATTGAATGATCTTACTGTGTGTAGAGTAAAAGCAACTGTTGGAGATGCCGATAATTTCTACTTCCTATGGACGAACACATAACTTTGCTGAATTTAGGTAACCATGAAAAGCCTTCTTCGATCATGTTGTTATCATTTACTGTAATATCTTCCAGCTGTTGATTTTTTAAACGCTCCTTTCTACCTTTACTATTCCCACACATAGAAGATGTATCCATAATGATATCTTCTTCTGTAGTTTCCTTTTATGGCATAAATTCTCTGCAATTATTACTTTTGTCAGCATCATAGAGTTGTCTTTATTGACCGATAAAAAGGCACTTGACAAATCCTTATTTCACAATGGCTCAAACAGTGCAAGAAAATTTGTGATACATTTATCTTGCTTAGATCATGTCATATCTATTATTACAGTGAATTCTAAACATTTTTGTTTACAATATAAAAAACCCATGCCACTAATAGCATAATAATTAAAAAATTAATATTAATATTTGATATCTTCAATCTGTATTTTGTTTCTAAACATTATCTTTAATTTTTTTATAAATATCTTGTTTAATTCAATATTAATAGAAAAGTTAAGGCACATGATTAGTGATACTTTTATAATCATAAATATAAAAAATTAATAATAAATGCAATTCATTGCTAACTTCTTCATGTTGTATGCACGAAAAAGGGATGAATTTACATCTATAAAAAATTAAAATTTGATAATAATTTCACGAATTTTACCATCACTTAGTAACATGTATGATTTAAATCTTTAATAGCTGGTTAATATAATTGGTTAAGAAATAATATACATAAAACATACAAAAAAATAATACATAAAACACATAAATCGAATATATAGAACTATCATAAAGCAGCTTTGTTGAATAACGTAACAAATTTTTACATCGAACGTATAATAAATTATTAGAAAAACTATATTGTTAAAATGGAAATAGTAAGAAGCATCGACCATTGAATATCGAGTGACAGTACGATATGCTCTTGCAAAAAGAGCATGCGGGACGCTCCCACGACGAGAGAGGGGAGGATGAGAGAGAGAGAGAGAGAGAGAGAGAGAGAGTGTGTGTGTGTGTGTGTGTGTGTGTGTGTGTGTGTGTGAGAGGAAGGAAGGAAGGAAGGAAAAAAGGAAGGAAGGAGACAGACGAGGAAACAGTTTCGATCTCGATCGAGGAAGACAAACGTTTACCTTACAGTGCTTATCGGCCCGACGACAATCTGCCGTACATACTGTCGCGCGTTCTTCGCATGTCGGCACGTCCCCGAGCGTTCTTCGCGTGTCGCAACTCCCGCACGGGTAGCTAACGTGTTAACGTGCGGAAGATATCTCTTCTGCGACGAGAGCAGGTTCTTCTCTTTCGAGTCACATCAGGATCGCGGTGTGCCGTCGTCGTCGCCGCCCTTCGCTCTCGCGTGGTTATCGCGCTCACCGATCAGCGGGGCTAAATCGGGATCCCATAAGGTCGCGGCATCCTCGCGCGACTCCGCGAGATTATTAGACACGCATATACCGAACGCGTTTTTTCACGCTCGTTGCGCCGCGTCGTTCATCGTCGGCACATCGCGTCGCGTGCGGCGCCGCCTGCCGTCCGGGGCCGGCAACTTCGTTTCACTTCGCTCGCTCCGCACGCGAGAGCACGCACGCACGCAGGTCTCTCCTCTCCGTCGCTTCGGCGACGGTTGCGCGCGGCGGAACGCGACGCTTCCGCGCGTCGTGTCTGCCGCGACGTCGCCGTGACCGCAGGCCGCCGATGAGCTTGCGCAAAACGCTCGCCCGTCCGTCAGGTACGTACGAACTCTCTCTCCATTCTTCGCTCTCGTGCGTGCTCGACGGTGCGCAGGTTTCTCGCCGGAGAGGGTCTCGCGAAAACGCTGTTCCAGAGGCATGTATCTTGTTTTCTCTTAGGAAGTGCACAAAGATACACTCCGTACGGCCCGTTCGAAGAAGTCGTGTAATAACATATTGGACTCGGTGATATGTGTGCCCCCTTTGCCGTACGTGGAACGTCTGACCGCCCGTACTTCGAGAGGGAAGTTGCACTTCCTTCGTGAAGACTCCGTATGTGAGAAAGAGAGAGAGAGAGAGAGAGAGAGGGAAGAAGAAAGAGGACGAGAAGAGCAAGCCGCTTTTTCGCTTCGTTCGGGCGGCGAGCGAACGATGGAACAGAGGAATGGAGTCCACCGCTTCCCCGCGACCGTACCGGAAAGACCTCCGAGGCGTATCCGGGAGACGAGAGAATCCCCGTTGAATTCACGCTGAGATTACAGGTAAGTGCATTTAGGAAACCTCCGGCGGTCACAGCCGGGTATTCTTTGACGTTTCAATCCGACAATAATGAAACCGCGGCCGACACCTCCCCTTGTCATGCGCCTCGTCGTCTCCCGCTTCGTACGGCCCTGATCATGACCGAGTGTTCCCACCATCGGCTGTTCGGCGGCGCACGGCGTCGCGCGAGCTCTCCGGCTAGGTTGCCCGGCAGCGGCCGAGCACGTATGTGACATGGCGTCCGGGTAGAAAGAAAGTTAACTGCTAAATAAGCGTTAATGTTGTTTTCATGACATTGACCAAGCGAAAAGGGAACATCCGAGGCCGCGAATTTCCCACAGACACTGGCATTGATGGTAATGCATGGGAGGAAACCGCAAAGGATCAGCGATGGGTAGGGCACTGCCGTCAAATACCCGATCCTGACACACGACCAACCTCGCTCTCTTTCTCTCTCTCTCTCTTTCTTTCTCTCTCTCTCTCTCTCTCTCCGTCTTCCTCGCTCTCCCTCCTTCTCTCTCTCTCTCTCTCTCCTTTTCTTTCTCCCTGCTCCTCTCTATCTCTCTCTCTCTCTCTTTCCGCATCAACTCGCTTCACCTCGTCTCGTCACCCGACGTCCGTCCATTCGTCCGTACGACCCGCTCGACCGCACACACGCACCGCCACACTGCCACTCTACCGCTCCGCGGCGCGACGAACTTCCACGATGGGTATCCGCTCGGGTGCAGTTCCTCGTGGAAACGATCGCGACGGCGGACAACGCGCGACGACCTCCTTCACTCACGACCCGTTGTCTTATGATTCCAGGTACTACGAAAAGCACCAGGCCCATCCCTATCAGGTAAATAATAGCCGCCGTCGAACGAAGCGATCTTGCTTGTCGGTGAGACACGGGGAAGGGAGCGGGCGGAGAGAAAGGGGAGGGATGTGGGACTCTGTCTCGCATCCACGGGCAACCTCACGTCGTCTCCTGATCGTGTCGCCGTAATTATCGCGCGTCACTATTCCGCGGCCGCGATTTACGCGTCGTCATCGTCGTCGTCGTCGCGAGTGTGTAACGTGGACGAGGACGGTGGGAGGGGGATGGGGTCGTCCCGGTTTTCGCGGGCGGGATGCCACAGAACGGAGCTCCCGCGGTGGCGGTACTCCGTGTAGCGTTCCACACTTTGTGGCGTTCATTTTTCGTCGACTTCGTGCAGTTCGTCGGGTCGCGCGCGCTTCGTAACACGCACGGCGGAGCCGAGCCGCTGTCACATTCTCGCGAGAGAAACGCGGGGTCGAACGCGAGCGGAATCGATAACGCGCTCAACCAGTTGCCCGACGACGATCCCGAGCGAACGAGCGTGCTCGACGCGCTACGTTCCTCCGTTGGCATCACGGACGGTCGCTCATCTTCCCTCATTTCCACGGGACCTCGCTCTCCCGTGGAAACCAAGGAACTCGACTCCCCCACGTCGCCCCCTTTTTTTTTCCACAATTCGCGAATTTTTCTCGGGTCTGGCGTGCGCAATATACATCTTTTGGTAAATCCCGAGGTAAACGTCCCGGCTGATCGTTCTTCAGCAGGACACAGCTGGGTCGTATCCTTGTCTCGTTACCGAGAGCGGTACATTCAGCCTAATCGCCGACAATCTGGTACATATTGAGCGTAAGACACGGTTCAAGCGGGTATGCAAGGATGCGTTCGACGGGCTTGGTAGGCAAACGGAATTCGGATTTGACAAGTGATGCTTTGGCGAACACCGCTCTGCCGTCGGGTATGTGTTCGTACCATCGAACGCATTATCGCGATACTAATGATTACGCCGAGGTATTTCCAGTAAATCTGTGCTGTGTATAATTATAGTCGTAGAGTTATATCCCGTAGTTTTCATTGATTGAACGTGCTGTTGTCCTTGAGCATATTATCACTTGTATCGGGCAAAATTGATAATTATGCGCGCGTAATTTCATTTAGATCCTTCAATCGGACTCGCACCGCGCGAAGGACGGTTATTAGTCGAGCTTTTCCTCGAATTTTCACGCCAACGCGAAGTAACTTCCTACTTGTCTTGTAAACATAACCTCACTTTTCGAAAAATCAATAATTTATTCTAGCAGGTAAAAGGCCCCAGAAATGTTCAAGTGCCGCTTCTCTGAGAACTTTGCTTTAGTTTTACTCGTTCGAACTACGTTCCGATGATTCTTACAACTTTTTCACCAATATTCAGCTCGAAATCACAATGAATGTCATAATCTTGGGATCACAGCAATTTCTTTGTGCCCAGGAGAGTTTCTGGTTTCTCCCAACTTTTTGAAGACAGATATTTTAACATATTTGCCTTTTAACGATTCAATATCATCATGCATGCCTTAACGTTCGTTTATTTATTAGTATTGTAAAATATAATTTATTTGATGCTCTGATATAGATTCCTTCAACTATATTGATCAATGTAAGTACAATTTACTAGAGTTTCCTACAACTTTTTATCTTACATATTGTTATCAGGTTAAAAATTATATCATTAATCTTAATTACAATGTTAAGGCATACACGATGTACTCATATACATATATTTTATAACATTTCTGTCAACAGCTTTATATTAACGGACGTTCTCCCTTCCTCACAGTGTCTCGACAACACAATTTGTTGTATTATTATCTATGCTACTTCTTATTTACCTGCTTAATAATTTGATTGCAGAACGCAAAGTACAGCGGTTCTAAGGGTGGTTACTCTTCCTCGACCACATCATCGGACAGTCGTTACGAAGGGCGTATGCGCGACTCTCCAAATGGTAACTCTTACAGTCCAGCCTGCAGCTTGGGAATGGGCATGGGGACGGACCGGGATAGTCCACGGAATTACGCATCCAAGCCTCTTTACAAGAAGGAGAGAGAAAATAGAGACTATAAATTATCCTCCTCTAGGGACAAGTATTCCGGTAAATAAGCTTTCTTCTGTCAGTTTTGACACTTTGTGTGAAAAGAGCTCTTTCATACTATAAAGTAACACGTATATATATATATATATGTGTGTGTGTATAAAACACATCTTTGTTAATATTAAAAAAATCTATAAACAATGTGCAGTATACAGATGTACAGATAAATGACAATGTTATCATGTAAAGAAACAATTCTCCTTTCCTTTGTCTAGAGTCTCAGTTTTTCCTCTTTTTTTCAGTATAAAAACAGAATTGTCTCTTAACATTTTCAGCTGTAACATGCTTGCTTGCATATGTGTAGATTGTGCACGATCCCCAAAAGACAAGAGAAGCCGCGAGAGCAGGGATTCAGAACACAGGACCAACCACGATAGGAGTAGTGGAGACGTAAGTGTTTACTCGACATTTGTGTATATTTTAACTATAGTTGTATAACTGTAAGACTTTAATATTATGGCAATTAAAAGTGTTACAAATTGTTTAAAATTGCCTCAGAATCAAAGAGAACAGAAAGCAATTCGATGATTTGCGTATGTTATAGAAATCTCACTTTCTTCTTAAATACTTGTTTTATACCATATTATTTACGTGTATAATATATAAAAATTAAATTCGTGGATAATATAATGTGTTCCAACTTGTAGCGCGAAATATATGAAACTAGTAACTCTCACATGACAACATGTTTTTATTTCGAGAAACTTTTTAACACATAATCAGTTGTGAATATATGAGATAGATGTCCATGTCTTTGGCATGTATATACATTTATAACATTCTAATTTTGTCAAAGACGTTATTTCTTATATATAAAACGGACTGTCGGATAATTTGTATATGGTCACAGTCCTAAAATAACGATGATACGTATCTACTGATAATCTTTCCGAAATATCTTTTTGATGTACATTTCGGAAGTATTGCATGTCCTTATCAGGTTAAATACAGCTTCTTGGACATATACGTTATCCTGAAAATAATAATTTTTATTCATATTCCTATAGATCTTACATCCCATAAAATTATCATCAAATTCATCGAGAGAATCTTCATCTCAGAGGAAACCAGCACACAATTCCTGTCAGGTCAGTGTACGATTACATTTATCCATACCGGTGTATTAGTCATAAATTCCAAGTTTTAAATTTGTACGAATAGTGGACAAACACACACACATGCAATTTTTCTAATCTAGTATATAATTACCATTTCATCATTCATATATAATAATCGGTGTGAATTTACGGAATGTATCATAAAACTATTAATTAAAACGAGATATAACAACATCGTGTGCAACTGAAACTGTTTATAAGCTACGAACGTGGGTATTATCATTGAAACGTGTAATATATTAATAATCTCAACCTCAACTTCAACTTTTAGCTTCAACTTTCCGAACAAGCTTTGGAATTAATGCAAATACTCCCTATCTATTCAATTGTTTTCCGGAAATTTTAGAACAGTCTGTTTAGGATAAACGTGGTGATGAGCGAGGAGGTGGTACAATGGAACGTACAGCCAGGGTTGGCGATTGGTCGGAGCACATGAGTTCTTCGGGAAAGAAGTATTATTATAATTGCAAAACGGAAGTTTCTCAATGGGAAAAACCACGAGAATGGATCAGTCGGATAGATAATCGTCAACGGCAGTCTAGTGACTACTCTTCTAGGTCAAGTACGTCTAAATTTTTTATGATTATCAAATATATATAATACGTAAAATGTTAGGTATGAAATGACTAATTTAAAGGACCGGTAAATATGAGTTTTCGTCGAAGTGAAAAATAAATGAATGAATTATATTATTCTGCTTGAAGCTTTGTATTAACTTTTCGCACTCGTAGTTCGGTCTATGTCAATACGCTTTGTGCCAAGATATACTACAACCACCGGAGATACAAGAATTTCTTGAAATAACGATAATGATATAGACGTTCAGAAAAAAATTCATAATGATAATATCAATAACTTTGACAACATCGATATTTAAATCAAAAAAATTAATGAAGTAAAGTTCCAAAAAATCAACAAATTACTAGTCCGTATAATTTCTATGTGTCTTTTGAATTCGTTAGAAGTTTTCACTTAGCGTGTCTATAAAAATATTAGAAACTTTGTTAGAACGCAATATAAAAGTATATACGATACATTTTCACTTGGAAATTTTTTTTTAATATAATATTTATATTGTTGCAAAAAAACTCTAAAGCAATACCGTCAATACAGTGTATATAAATTTGAAATATTTTGATTTGTTATATTTCCAAGTTTATGTGAGTGAAAGTGTATTATACATTTTTTTTATTGTATTCTAACAAAGTTTCTAATAAATATTTTTTTATTAACACGCTAGGTGGACTTTTCTAATATATGTATAATTGTATAGTTACAAAAATATATATTATACAGGATCCTAACATCAGGAAAACATCTAAATAT